CGGGCCTTGATCTAATCCAGATTCTGTGTTTTCTTCTCTTTCACATTCAAAGCAAGACAGGTGGCTTCTCTAGAGAAGAGCTGTGAGCTGAAAATGGCTGGAGACCAGCAACAATTCCAGCATGGACAGCAAACCAGGGGTGCATCCGGGGGTTGGTCAAAAAAGTTACGATGTCAGTCACAATGGTGCGATCAAAACTTTGTGGCCTCCATCTTGACTTTTTTCACCATCCCCTGCGGACACTCTTCGCACGAACCCCCAAAGCCTATGCCTTGCGACTCCTCACCTCTCCATACTGCTTCCGGCCAGGCATCCAGGCCTCAATGTCGAATTTCCGGGAGGCAGACAGGCCCAGTTCGTGTGGGGGCATATCCAGAACTCTGTCCACAAAGAGACGCTGGTCAGAATGAACGCAGCAGCCACAAGGGGCCAGCTAAACCCTGAAGCCTCCTCGGGGTGGCAAGCAGGGCCTGAACCCCCATGCCCCATCTTTACCCATTTTGCTTCCTGGATGGCGGGTTACTATGAACTCCTCCAACATTATATATTAAAACTATGTGGCTAGTTCGCCGTGTGGGTTTTTCTTCCTCACCCTTCAGGGCTCCCTTACGCTCCTCTCAGCTTTAAAATGCATCTTCCTTCTCCAGGTTTTTTTTTTAAGAGACTTACTTGTTCATATTTGTGTGTGTGTGTACGCATGCGCATGCCTTCAAGTCATTCTTGACTTCTGGCGACTGCCTGGACAAGTCCCTGCAGTTTTTGTGATAAGATTTTGGAAGTGGTTTGCCCTGGCCTCCTTCCTGGGGCTGAGAGAGAGGGACTGGCCCAAGGTCACCCAGCTGGCTTTGTGCCTAAAGCAGGACCAGAACTCACTGTCTCCTGGTTTCTAGCCTGGTGCCTTAAGCGCTACACCAGACTGGCTCTCCTTGTGCATCACCTCTTTCTTAATCTACTCCAAGGCCTCTTCCTTAATCTACTCCAAGACTTACTTTATGGTAGATTTTAATGCAACTCTTAATGGATTTAGAAAACTGGCTTGTGGAAGGCCTGGAACTGCAGAGGGGTTCACAGCAAATAATCTTCATTACTCTCCACCCACCCTGGCTAACCTCCCAGAAGGGGCTGGACAAATCCTGCAATCGCTGCTGTCCAGCACATCTCCTTACTTGTAGTGTAAGCCCAGCTCGAGGAAAATCTCTTTCTGCAGGGCCAGAAATTCCTCCATCAAGGCATTGCTCTCTAGACCCGTTTCGTTGGCAGTAACCCCAAACATTTCCACCTGGGGGAATGCAGGGAGGAGAAGAGAAAAAGGAAAACCTTATAAGAAAAAAGGCATCCCTGGACAGAGAGAAGGGAGAAAAGGAATGACCTAATTTAGTGTTTTTCAAACTGTGGGTTAGGGTTAGGGTTAGAGCTTTCAGATGTGTGGACTTCAACACCCAGAATTCCCCAGACAGCATGGTTTAAGTTGTATGGACTTCAACTCCCAGAATTCCCCAAATAGCATGCGTTAAGATCTGTGGACTTCAACATCCAGAATTCCCCAGGCAGCATGCCGATTGAGGAATTCTGGGAATTGAAGTCCATGCATCTTAAAGTTGCCAGATTTGAAAAACACTGACCTAACTTTTTGAGAATCGCTCCATTTTTGGAGAGGGGAAAAAAAATCTGAAGCAAACCCAATCTGGCAGCAAAAGCTGAATGCTGTAGCCAACAGGAATTGGCTATCTCTTATGGTGCACTTGTTTTGTCTCGGGAAACAGAGTCCTCCATTGATTTATGACTACTTCTTTTCTCAACACTGAACTACCTCCCCTCCACCGTGACTCAAAACCTCAATGAGCCACACTTGTGGCCGTTTTGATTTTTCTCCAAGCACAGCTGATGAGTTGAACACATGCCTGCAGCCAGCAGCTAAAAAAATCTCAGGCTGCATCCAGCGAAGATGCCGGGCCCTTGTTGTACCTGCAGAACTACATAATCCAAATCTACAAGGTGCCATTTCCCCCTCAGTCTTACACTCTGAGACCTTGCCTTTAAGGTAAGTGTGGCAAATCTGGGTCAAGCCAGCCTCACCTTGGTGAACTGGTGCACTCGATAGAGCCCCCACGGTTCCTTGCCAGTTTCAGTTTCAGCTCGGTAGCAGGTGCTGGAACACACTATCCTGGCCAAGGAAAAAGGATGATTAATCAGCTGGCAGTCCAGATCAGGCCTTCCCACCTTCCCCACAAAATCTGTTGGAACTGCAGCACCTAGAAAATCTAGCCAGCACGGAATGGCAACTCTGAAGGTGAGTGTACCGCAAATGTGAAGTACTCACCTGATTGGCATATCTTTCAGAGCTACAGCATGGTCTGCAAAATAACCTGGTGAAAGCCAAAAACAGAAAGAGAAGAAATGGGATTTCTTTAATTAAGGAATGTGAATTCTTCCTGTTCCTCTCATCTTCAACAACTAAAATGCACTTTGCAATTAAACAGCTCTCCTAACCACCCATGCCTGTGTTTTGAACATTTCTCTTCCACAGGTGGACTACCACATCTACTCCTTCTACGTGTATTTCACCTTTGCTATTCATTAGGCACAGAAGGCAGCTAACAGTCATCAATAAAATTTAAGAAACTGGTTAAACTAAGATCATGGCATGTGGACCCATCAATTCCTGGCAAATAGAAGGGGTAGAAATGGA